GGGGCTGCACCTAGGGATTGGGCCTGCCCTCTGCCACCTGGGAGCAGGCCTAAGCCAGGAGGTCGTTATCTCCTGAGGGGTCCCAGACTGCGAGAGGGCACAGGTCGGGCTGAGGGACCCTCTTCCCCCCCCGAGTGCACAAATTTTTGTGCACCGGGCCTCTAGTCCTATATAATAAAAGGGTAATATGCAAATAGACAGAAAGGCAGAATAACCAATCAAAGTGTAAATGCTAATGATATGCTAAGGCTGCTCAACCACTTGCTATAACGTGCACTGATCACCAGGGGGCAGACAGTAAACTGGACGACCAGTTGCTATGACGTGCACTGACCACCAGGGGACAGATGCTCCAACTGGTAGGTTAGCTTGCTGCTGGGGTCCGGCTGATTGGGACTGAGAAGAGCCGAACATGCCCTGGAGCCTTCCCACGGTTCCTCCCCAGCCTGATCGTACACCGGTGGGGTCCCTCATCCTGGCCTGCACCCTCTCACAATCCGGGACCCCTTGGGGGATATCAGAGAGCTGGTTTCAACCTGATTCCATAGGCCACTCCCCTTGGGAGGGCACTAAGCGCAGGTCTCATGGCTGGCGAGTGCTGCTATAGCAGCCAAGCCTCTCCCGATCGGGACTGATTGGGCGTGAGCCCGCAGCAGGCACAGTGGGGCCAGGATGAGTGGAGCAGCAGGTAGGAGCTGCAGGCGGCGCTGAACTGCGGGTTTCGGCCCAATCCTTGCAGGCCGCCCAGAGGGACCCAACCCATGCATGAATTCGTGTACCAGGCCTCTAGTTCATTTACAAGTGGTGTAAATTTCTGCATTTGTTACTTCAGTAAATTTTTTTAAAGGAAAAAGAACCAAGCTGTGTTAAGAAGAAATGATTTTAAGCAAAATAAGGTAAAAAAAAACAACCCTATCTACAGATGTTCAGCAGAATGTCTGTGGGTTCCCAGCAACACAGTAAGGATGGAAGTCATTTTGGGGGGGTACTTTTTAAAAAAAATTATGGTAAAAAATACAAAACGTAAAACTTACCATCTTAACCATTTTTAAGTGTACAGTTCCATATTGTTAAACGGATGTCTAGAACTTCTTCATCTTGCAAATCTGAAACTTTATACCCATTAAACAACTCTGGTGTTCCCCTGTCCCCCAGGCCTTGGTAACCACCATTCTACTTCCTGTTTCTATGAACATGACTACTTTTAATACCACATACATATGGAATTATACAGTACTTGCCTTTCTGTGACTGGCTTATTTCATTTCACATGTCCCCCAGGTTCCTCCAGGTTATAGCATGTGATAGGGTTTCCTTCCTTTTTAAGGCTGAACAATGATCCGTTGTGTGTATCTACCACATTTTGTTTACCCTTTTGTCCATCGATGGACATGTGGAGTGCTTCCACCTTTTGCCTATTGTGAATAGTGTTGCTATGAACATGGATGTACAAACACCTCTCAAGACTCTGCTTTCTATTTCTTTTTGCTATGTCCAGAGGCAAGGTTGCTAGATCGCACATGGTAGCTTCATTTTTTAATTTTTAAGGTGCTTCCATACTGCTTTCCATAAAAGTTGCACCATTTTACAATTCAACCAAGAAGGCAAAAGGGTTGGCATTTCTCTACATCCTCATCAACACGTTTTCTTTTTGTGTGTGATAGTCGCACAGATCAATTTTTCAGAAGCCATTTTTGAAGGCCTGGCAAGGCTTTATCTGAATTAAACTCTAAATACCAATGGCCTTCAAGAAAAGTTACCTTAAATCCTTATATATTGGAACTTTATATTTATCCTTAGAGACCAGCAAGATTTTGATATGACTTTACCTTCTTTGCTGAAAGTGTTTGAATTTGTTAACATTACTAACAAGTGAAACACACAGCAGATACTAAAGGACTCCGAGAGGAAAATTTTAAAGTTATGTTTTCAAATCTTGTTTGAAATGCCACCCATGTGCGTGTGTCTCCCAGAAAGAGCAACAATATGACTAAAAAAAAGAGCAAGTACAAGGTGAATGCATACTTTATTTCATTAAGTTGGTTCCACTGAACTGAAAGACCTGGGCATTCTCCCAAATGGAACAAGTACATGGCACAGGTAGAAGTAAAGAACTCCCCGAAGCAATGACACAGTGGGTGGAAAAAGAGCCTCAGGTGTGGACTGAGTCAGTGGAAGGTCAAACAGAAAACTGGGCGCCAGGAGCTGCTACCACAGTTAGTTGCCTACCTTGCTCTTCCAGAAGGACTCGCTCAGCCGAGTTTTCCTCTACTTTTTTTCTGGCTGCTGCTTCTTCCTCTTTGGACCATTGCATGTGATCCCTATAAAAAAATACAACAACTGTAAACCATGCTTTACCGTTGAAGAAGGCAGGAAAGGGTGGCAGGGGATGCATTTGTCATTCTAGATTCTGCAAAGACAAATGATGCAAACTAATTCCTCTTCCACTGAAGGTATTTTGTGTCAGACGTGCCTCCTGATAAGTGCCGGGGTAACCTTGGAACCTCTGTGGTTTCTTTATTTAAAGCTGGTGGTGTTGCAATCCCCAGCCACCCTTTTGGAAATGACTGCTGAAGTATGTCATGTCCCAGAAGCACCATTATGGCGCATGATTATTTGGGTGCTGGTATGGTTCACTGTATTTTACTCTAAGACTAAATTCATTTGCCTTTTTGTTAATTTATGAACAGGGCATTCTTTCATGATTCTTGAACACTCTTTTTACAATATTTGTAAAATACTTTGTACTTATCCTCAGTTTTTTAAAAAATATATATTTTATTGATTTTTTTACAGAGAAGAAGGGAGAGGGATAGAGAGTTAAAAACATCGATCAGCTGCCTCCTATACACCCCCTACTGGGGATGTGCCCGCAACCAAGGTACATGCCCAGAATCGAACCTGGGACCCTTCAGTCCGCAGGCCGACGCTCTATCCACTGAGCCAAACCGGTCAGGGCAATCCTCAGATTCTACAGTGACTTTAGACTTTTCTTATTACCTGCCTTAATTTCTATAAATGGGTTCATTCACATTTAAATTATAGACTACTTGATATAGATATAAAAAGTCACCTTTCGCCCTAACCGGTTTGGCTCAGTGGATAGAGCATCGGCCTGCAGAATGAAGAGTCCCAGGTTCGATTCCGGTCAAGGGCATGTACCTTGGTTGTGGGTACGTCCTCAGTAGGGGTGTGCAGGAGGCAGGTAATCGATGTTTCCCTCTCTCATCAATGTTTCTAACTCTCTATCCCTCTCCTTTCCTCTCTGTAAAAAAATCAATAATATATATATATTTTTAAAGTCACCTTTCTAAGATCTGACATTTTCTTTTTCTTTTTTTGGCATTTTCTTTAAGTGTCTTTTAGTTTCAAAATTTACTTTCCCAATACGAGAAGATATTATTTTTTGCCACAAAAATGTCTTTCTTAGAATAAAAAGCAGCACCTTTAAAATATGTTTTATTGATTTTTTACAGAGAGGAAGGGAGAGAGATAGAGAGTTAGAAACATCAATGAGAGAGAAACATTGATCAGCTGCCTCCTGCACACTCCCTACTGGGTATGTGCCTGCAACCAAGGAACGTGCCCTTGACCAGAATCGAACCTGGGACCCTTGAGTCTGCAGGCCGACGCTCTATCCACTGAGCCAAACCGGTTAGGGAAAAAAAAAAAAAAGCAGCATCTTTATACAAAAAGGTTTTTGTTTTGTTTTATTTTTACAAAGTTTGCATTTCTTTTTTTGCAACTGGTAAAACTTTAGTGAGTGATGTGATTTCTTGGAATAAACCATTTTTTTTTCTAAACAATAATGAAATAAAGTCCTATATAACTTGAAATTTACTTATTGAAAATTGTAAAAAATATCACCAACATTAACATCATATGATATTTACAGCTACCTCACTGAGGAGAAAGGGGTAAGTTATAAAATTCCTGAGGTGCATCATTATGGTAACTGATAAACATTAACTGATATATGTGTATGAAGCTGGGACTGTGGACAGTTTGTACAGGAAACAACAAACAATCCATTTTGATTGGATAATTGCAGATGAAGTTAAGAGCTCAGAATCAGAGGCTCTCAAACGTGAACAGTTTGGTAATGTGCAAGACACAATGAATTGGGGAGGGACTGGAGGGTGGGAGGCCAACTAGAAGACTTGCAGTGATTTAGGAGTCAGGAGTTCCAGGGTTAAGGTGGTGGCAATGAAAAAACAGAAAGGAAGAATGGAGGGAGAGACACTGTGGGGAAAAAAAAAAAAGCTGTTATGTCCTGGAGATTAACTGGATGTTGTGGGGAGTAGATAAGAAGAGTCAGGAATGATTTCAAGATCTTAAAACTGAATATCAAGAAAACTGGGGGTATCAGTGACACAATAAGGAGTTGGTTTGGGTAGAATGATGATCAGCTTGGTGCTATTTTTAAGTAATGTGTATGTAACCAGATATGAGAGGGTGTATTCCAGTGACCTGCCTATAAATATACCACCTAAAGGTGAGAAACTGCAATCTTTTGAGAAGGATTAGAACTGGTATACTGAAGTCCCTAGGAAAAGCAAATGATAATGCAAATCTCAGAGTTTCACAGATGAAACTTTAACCACCATTATTTCAAATAAAACCTAATTATTTAAAATCCAAATAATCATTAAGCAGCTTTGTCACTTGCTCTAATGCAGTGGTTCTCAACCTTCCTAATGCCGCGATCCCTTAATACAGTTCCTCATGTTGTGGTGACCCCCAATTTCATTGTTACAAAGTGAACATAATTAAAGCATAGTGATTAATCACAAAAACAATATGTAATTATATATGTGTTTTCCGATGGTCTTAGGCGACCCCTGTGAAAGGGTCGTTCGACCCCCAAAGGGGTCGCAACCCACAGGTTGAGAACCACTGCTCTAATGAGTCAGATTAGAATAGGTTTTTGTTTTGTCTTATTTTAATATATGTGAGAAATCACTTTGAACTGACAACTATACTTTGTATTTTGCACATATAAATATACTGGGGGGGGGCAAAAATAGGCTTACAGTTGTACATATGAAAATAATACAATCCTATATAATAAAAGCCTAATATGCTAAGTGTCTGGTTGTCCCATTGGCCGTTCAACCAATCAAAGCATAATATGCTAATGAACGCTAATGTCACTCAACCGCTCGCTATGACATGCACTGACCACCAGGAGGCAGACGCTCCAACTGGTAGGTTAGCTTGCTGCTAGAGTCTGGCCGATTGGGACTGAGCAAAACTGGCCATGCCCTGGAGCCCTCCTGTGGTCCCTCCTGGGCTGGCCAGCCTCCTGCGTCCCTCCCTGGCCCCAATTTTGCACTGGTGGGGTCCCTTGACCTGGCTTACATTCTCTTGTAATCCGGGACCCCTCAGGGGATGTCGGAGAGCCGATTTTGGCCCAATCCTACAGGCCAGGCCAAGGGACCCCACTGGTGCACGAATTTGTGCACCGGGCCTCTAGCAAATACTAATACAAGAATAAACTGTTTTGCATACTCATAAATATAAACCTACTTTTGCCCCCACCCCATATACAGAATATTATTAAAAGCAACAAATCATTTATTTAAAAAATAGTATTATTGCCCTGGCTGGGTGACTCCGTTGGCTGGAGCGTCATCCTGCACACCAAAAGGTGGCAGTTCCGATTCCCGGTCAGGGCACATGCCTAGGCTGTGGGTTTGATGGGAGGCAACCAATTGGTGTTTCTCTGTCACATTGAACTCTCTCTAAAATCAATAAAAACATATCCTCTGGCCCAGAAATTCAATTCTTAGGTTTACATCCAAGAGAACTAAAAACATGTTCTCACAAAAAATATTCATAAACACGAATATTCACATAGCAGCATTTTTATAATACCCCCAAAGTGGAAACAACTTAAATACCCATCAAATGATAAAAGGATAAATAAATGTGTAATATCCACACAATGGGATAGTAGTATTTCTGCACCAAAACCCACCAAACTACTGATAGACATAACTTGAATGAACCTCAAAAACATTATGCTAAGAATCCACATGCAAAAGGCCACACATTGTATGATTCCATTACTATGAAATGTCCAGAAAACGCTAAAATATAAAATAAAAAAGTAGATTAGTACTTGCCTGTAACTGGGAATTGTAAAGGGCAATGCCTGAAAATTGGCATAAAAAATCTTCTTAGGGTAACGTAAATGCTCTAAAATTGGACTGAGGTAATGGTTATAACTATAAATTTACTAAAAGTCACTGAACTGTATACTTAGAAGGAATAAATTACATTGTAATTAATTTTACCTCAATAAAGATCCTTTAAGAAACAAACAAACAAATAAAAAACATATCCTCTGGTGAGGAATTAAAAAAAGAAAGTATTATAAAGCCTGGGACAAGTCATCTGTAAATTTCTACAACATATAAGAAAGAAAATAGAACAATTCATTTCCCTATAAAGAACCAAGCTCTGAGACAATGAGAGTATATGTGGTCGTTAGCTTTAAGCATGCTTTAAACTGTTTAACTTGCTTCTTCCTGAGCATTTAATAGGTTCAGTTATTTTTTAAATTGCTCTAACTTCCTTACACTGTTCTTTATGTTGCTTCATTTTCTTAACTGCTAAGTGAGGGTAATATTATACCCTAAACCACTGCAGAACAGATTTTCCACTGTACAGTTACAGAATCCCCACTGAAACCTATAAAATGTTCCTACTGTATTTATGGGACTTCCTCAAGAACTGCAGCTTTATGGTAGTTCTTTATATTAGAAAAGTCTGATTCACGTATACCCAAACCCAACAGACAGCAATAAGAATCATTCAAGTTTATAAGCAATAAATACAATTGCAATAGAATTTAAGCATAGAAACAAATAACAAACAAACTAAAAATAATCAAGTATTTAACAACCAACACCACCACCACCACTATCCAAGGGGAAAAAACACCTTATACTGTTTGATCTATGAATTATACTTCTGGGAATTTATTGTAACAAAGTAATTGAAAATAACAGAGAGGTTCTTAGAGAGAAGTATCTTTAGAGAGAAGGAATCTTTTTTATTCTGCAGACCATTAGTGTGTTCTTCACTGTTTTCATTGTATGACCTTGCATACACTCTTCTTTACTGTTTCTTTATTCATGGGTATATATGTCAATTCTCCATCTAATAATAATAAGAATGATGCCTTTTAGTGATAACTTACTACTAAGAGTTTTATATATTTGTGTTCTTTAATACTCACAACATCCCCTGAAGGAACTTGCTCAAGTTCACATACCTTGAAAGGGATAGAGTCAAGATTTAAATTCAGATTTTT